TTAATCTGTCAGCTGGGCAGCCGCACCTCATGTGTCAGCGCACATCACATGGCTTGTCAGAAAAACACGGCGATGCTGCAGACGGCATTCATGGCTCACCTTGCCTAAAATCACACTGGGGATTGAGTTTTTTTTTGGGGACCGTTCACCTTTTGTGCTGAGTGTCAGCTGGGACACACCCTCCATTGTGCCGCCTCCCTGGGAAACACCACTGTAACAGGTGAGCACCCCTGTAATCCAGTGTGCCCGCTCTCCCCTCCCCCCCTCGGGCCGAATGATTCGGCAGCACTCACTTAACAGCCAATAAAATAACAGAGATAATCCAGCTATGGAAAACATGCGTCCGTATGCGTGTGAGAGCATGTGCATGGGATGCAGGGGGTGGGGTGGACGTTTCCACGAGGACCAAACAAACTGCCATGCTTTATTAACGACTGTATGAGTTTGTGAAGGTATAAATTTAGCTGGTGATTGTGTAGCACATGACAACTGTGCTGCTGCTTATCAGAACCCGGAGAAGCAAAGACACGGGGCCTAATCAATGTTCCTTTATTACATATATGTGACCCTGGACCACAAAACCAGTCATAAGTAGCACTGGTATATTTGTAGCAATAGCCAACAATACATTGTATGGGTCAAAATTATCGATTTTTCTTTTAAGCCAAAAATCATTAGGTTTCACGAAGGATGTTCCACGAAGATATTTTGTAAATTTCCTACCGTAAATAGATCAAAACTTAATTTTTGATTAGTAATATGCATTGCTAAGAACTTCATTTGGACAACTTTAAAGGCAATTTTCTCAATATTTAGATTTTTTTGCACCCTCAGATTCCAGATTTTCAAATAGTTGTATGTCGGCCAAATATTTTCCTAACAAACCATACATCAATGGAAAGCTTATTTATTCAGCTTTCAGATGATATATAAATCTCAGTTTTACAAAATTGACACTTATGACCCTTATTGTGGTCCAGGGTCACATATAGAATGGAGAATGTACTGAAATATGGATTTATCATGACCTAAAATTATTGAAATCTTTCATTTACAATGAATAATGATCAAATATTGCTCATTTAAACAATCAGACTTACTAAAAAACATGTGTCATAGCTCTGGAGTTTAGTTAAACAAATCCATAATTTTTAAGAAGAAACACCTGATGCAGAATTTAGCTGAATGTGTGAAGTAAGTTTTTTTTCTTGCTTGTTCAGCCAATTGCATGTTTACTTGAGTTTTAATTCTGTGGCTGAAATCAGGAAAACATACTATCATTATACTCTTACTATTTCTGCCTATGTTATTGCTAATATGCTGTTACTACTATGCTATTCTTGCACTACTCAAACTTGCGTCATCGTCATAATAAATATTTTTTAGCAACATATCTGTCAAAAGACCTTCCTCAGGTTGCAAGTTAATGCAAGTTTTTAAATGTATTTTTAATTGCTTTTGTAATTCTGTTTGGTTATCACTGAAATTACCTCATCTGTAAATTAATTATTCAATAAAACCCTGTTTATTATTTGATCTGCACTGCAAAAAATCCTAATCCTGATCAGATCTTCTAGTTGAAATATCTGAAACTCCTTACATTGACATTCAAAGCACATTGTATAGGATATAAAGTATTATGATATTATGTGTTTTCAGAGAATAGTGACTATATCCCTAGATATACTGTAGATAGAAAGTGTTTTCAGGCAGATCTTTTTCACTTGTTATAAAACAAGTCTTAATATCTGATGTAGAAGTAAAAAAGTACATTTATGCTATTTTAAGACTTAAGTTTGAGATATTTTCACTAAAAATGTATTTAATTAAGAAGTCATTTTTAGCTGTGTAAGTGCTGTGGCTATTTTACTAATACCTATGAGAGGGAAATGACCAAGTTTACCAGCATTACAAGGTCATGAACATGAAAGACTGGATGTAACTTTACACAGACAAGATCCAGAAGTGATTCTAATTTCATGCCAACACATATACAGTTTAAATCTACAGGATATATACTTTTTAAAACACTGTATTTTAATGGTTTTGAAATGTCTCAACAATTCAATTGTCAAACACCACAACGAATCTCATCTTTGCTTATTAATTTTTCTTCTCACAGCACTAAATAAGCATGTCCTCTCTCCTCTGGGCTCCCTCAAGGCATATTCTTTAATTATGTTAATTAATTCATATTCTACCCACAATACATGCAGCCCTCACTCACAATTACCCGCAAAAAGCCAGCATTTCAATCTTTAAAGGGCTACAGCTCAGAAACACTTTCGTGCGAAGAAGTTACATGGCCGAAGTTTTATCAAGGATTCATCAAGCTGGGGGAAGGGTTTGATAGTATAAAGTTGTGAGGCCTGGACAATCCCCTCCTTAATTCCCAGTGAGTAATGCACCTCCTGAGCACTGCTGCTGTTACATCACCTCTTATTCAGTGCTGTAACTGAAATTCTAAGGATTAGCTGGCGTTAATACCGCATTATGACTAGGCCCTCGTCGGACAAAAACACTTTCCAGAGATTTCCCCCACACCATTATCTAGTCCCAAACTCACATCTCATATCCAATCTGGTTTTAAATATAGCCTACTACTTGTATGGTGTCCGGTATTTATGTGGGGCGCACAGCGGGCAAAGAAGGATTTCTGAAATTGAACTTTCAGCCTAATTGTGACGCTAGATTAAATCAGTGAAAATGTGCAGCGCTGCATTGTCTGCAGACCGGGATTAACAGAGATTACACATGCTCATTTTCACAAAGGCATCATCTGAATGCTCAACGCTCATTTAGCTGACGAAGGAAGTTTATACTAAATCATTTTGTTGGTCCTCGGGACAGTCTCAGATGGGTTTTTACTGAATCCCCTGCTATAAAATCTCCGCCTTGCATCCCTCCCCCCGGTTTTTGAGAACCGGAGAACGAAGAGTTCTGACGCATTTGGAAGGACACCTGTCTCCCGTGCAGCACAGCGAAGCGCTAGGCAGGCCGCTGGCCCATCTTGGCAGTGAACGCTAGCGAGAGGAGCACAGATAATTACAAACTCCAGGGAGGCCGTAGGACCAACCTGTTCCTCTAGTCTGATCCAGCAGGTCCTTGTGGCCAACACCACCTCTTTCAAGACCCCCTCCGACCCCCCTCCCCCCTTCAGGCACACCACACAATGATACGGTCATCACACAAAAGAGATGGTGCCCCTCGGCTTTCTCAACAAGAGTACCTTATAATCCAGTCCGTGGAGTTTATTCATGACTGTTTTGTATAGTCAGGATGTTGCTGACACACCTAGAACCTCATTTCACATCATATTTGTAGGTCTGATGCATACTTGAGAAATCATTTAATTGTGATACACAGGCTCTGTTCCAAAACCTAATTAGCAAGTGAGTCTAATTCTCTACATAGGCAGCTCAATGAGTTATACAAATGTGACCCTGGACCACAAAACCAGTCTTAGTCGCTGGGGTATATTTGTAGCAATAGCCAAAAATACATTGTATGGGTCAAAATGATTGATTTTTCTTTTATGCCAAAAATCATTAGGATATTAAGTAAAGATCATGTTCCATGAAGATATTTTGTAAATTTCCTACTGCACATATATTAAAACTAAATTTCTGATAGTAATATGCATTGCTAAGAACTTCACTTGGACAACTTTAAAAGCGATTTTCTCAATATTTTGATTTTTTTTGCACCCTCAGATTCCAGATTTTCAAATAGTTGTATGTCGGCCAAATATTGTCCTATCCTAACAAATCATACATCAATGGAAAGCTTATTTATTCAGCTTTCAGATGATGTATAAATCTCAATTTCGAAAAATTGACCCTTATGACTTTTGTCTGGTCCATATGGTTTTGTGGTCCAGGGTCACAAATAGCTAACTTGATTTGAGTTTGGTGTTCACATGTTGCTAAACAGTACTCTAATAAGCATAAAAATACACAAAATGTTCAAAGGTTTGTCTAGTAAGACAAATGCATTTATTTGATCACAGTAAGACAGTAAGAATAGTATAATTGGGAAATATTATTGCAACTGAAAATAATTGTTTTCTATTTAAATATTTTTTAAAATTTGTCAGCATCATTACTCCAGTCTTCAGTGTCACATGATCCTTCAGAAATCATTCTAATATGCTGATTTGCTGCTCAAGAAACATTTCTTATTATCATCAATGTTGAAAACAGTTTAGCTATTTAATTTTTTGTTAGAACCATCTTTATTTTCACTTTTTATCAATTTAAAGCATTCAAAAAAAGGATTTATTTTAAAAAATCTTACTGACCTCAAACTTTTGAGCTGTAGTGAACACAGCACACAAAAATATTGGGTAAATTGGTTAATATTTCGATTAATCAAAGGTTGTTGTAAGTATCTCCCTTACTTTCTCCATCATTTTCGATATATTTGTTTCTCTTCAGTGCATTATGAGATTGCCTTCACTGCAAATGAGACATGCTGCCACAGAATTCGGCATAAAAAGTATCTTAGAAAACAGGTGGGTTAAATACAACCCAGTGCTGGGTAAAATAGGGACAAACCCAGCAATTGGGTTGTTTTGACCCAGCGGTTGGGTAACTACCCAGAAGGTTGGGTTAAACATTTAACCCAACCGCTGGGTCAAAACAACCCAATTGCTGGGTTTGTTCCTATTTTACCCAGCACTGGGTTGTATTTAACCCAGCATTTTTTAGAGTGCAGCATTAACACTGTCTTGCACCAAGAGCACACTTAAAATGCTACACTCACTAAGTTTAGGTACAGAGTAATTGTATCCGATTCATTACTGGGTTGGGCTATCTTTATTCAATAAATGTCAGCAAACACAATCAAATTTAGCAAATGTTGACCAGGTTAATGTTTGCATGTCATAAAATTCACTGAAGCTCCAAGATAAAGTGATTCTAAAAAGCATAATGTTTGATTTGTGACCTTATTTTTTCAGTGTCTGGTGGATGTTGAGCAGCTTTGGCATGTGAACGTACCGCTGAGGATCTCTTTGAGGCTCTTGAACCAAATCTCACAGTGGTCCGCACTGAGGTTGTTGAGGTGGATGGCATGCTCCTTGAGTTTGAGCCCTTTCTTCTTGCACTGGAAGAGTGTGATGCCCAGCAGAGTTCCGCCCGTCTGCTGCCCCGCAGAGCGCCGCCGCTTTACCTTCACAGCAAACACGTCCTTAAGCTCCACATACTCTTCCTGGTTCTTCACATCACGGTCAGCTAAAGCAAACACACAAGATATATTTAAAAGTCATATTACACATTTTTCCCTCCTGAGTTGGGTTTTAACGTTATGTGTTTAAATTTAATGTAATTTTTTTTAAAAATCTTTTTCCACCCTAATTGACCCTTAAAGGCCTGGTTAAATTTAAAACTCTAATATGTAAATGCCAATGTGAACTTTTCGGCACTTATTCACAGGCAGTGGGTTTGCATTCATATCTAGTAGGAAATGACTTTCAGCATAAGTGCTTGGGAGAAAGTTTTACTTCAAAACAACAAGCAAATATGATTTACGAAAAATATGACACCGGCTTATTTAAGTTTGGCTATTTATGCTGATTTATTTTTTTATTTTTTTTGATAACAGGGAAGCAGCACTTGACAATTAAACAGGTTTAAAGGCATAGTTCACCAAAAAAAAAAAAAAGTAAAATATTGTTACTATTTCAAAGAACTGTTTTCTATTTTAATATATTTTAAAATGTCTTTATTCTTGCAATGGCAATCGTCAGCCTTCAGGGTCACATGATCCTTCAGAAATCATTCTAATATGTTGATTTGGTGCTCAAGAAACATTTCTTTTTATTATTACCAACATTGAAAACAGTTGTGCTGCTTAATATTTTTTGTAGAAACTGATTTTTTTTTCAGAATTACCTGATGCATAGAAAGTTCAGAATAACAACATTTATTTGAAATATAATTTTTAACAACGTAAACGTCTTTACTGTCACTTTTGATCAATTTAATGTGTCCTTGTTAAATAAAAGTATTCATTACTTCTTACTGACCCCAAACCTTTGAACTGTTTTTGCCCATTCAAGAAAGATCAGTGGAGTCTCAATAACAGACCCCTTTGACATTCAATGTATAGACAAAATATGTTTAACATTTCCTCTTTGAAACAACATCATAATGATTCAGTGACGAGACTTTTCATTTTTGAGTGAACTATCTCTTTAATTCTTCTACGAGAACCAAAACAAACACAATAAAGTTTTAATGGGTGAGAATTCAGACTTTCAACAGCGCTGCACTTGATACCCCAGCGTTACGTTGGGCTACGAGCTTCCTATTCTCCCCTGGCCCCCCGCTGTAAACCATTACCCACAGGCAAACTCCAATTAAGCCACACTGAAATCTGTTGCCGAGCTTCAAGATGGACAGAGTTCTGTAGCTGCCTCTCTAAATGACAGTCTCTCTCCTTGTGTGAAAGCTTTTCTTCATTAGGAGCACCCCAAGCCGCACCTCCGCGTTTCAGAACATTAACTACCCTCTCACATTACTGTGCAGGACACCCGCTGCCATCTGTTCCTACTTAGGCTTCTGCTCGAACCTCTCTATACCTCCACCACTCTATTTATTTAACTCCGAAGCTGCGTTTCATTGTGGTCACTCTACAAAAACCCAGAGTCAATTGAATTAGTGGGAATAGGAGATAATCTCTCCCGGCAGAGCTTTCCGAGAGCCGGGGCAAATGACAAAGTGGCCGTGTTAACGGCCGTGTACAGGAAGCTTCCTCCGAGGGGGCGAGGGAGGGTCTTGAAGGTTAGGTGGAGACCAGGACAAGGCTGAAAAGCGGGGTTTCTCCCTGCTACATTAGAGTAAGCCTGCGCCTTGTCCGACTCAATCTTGGCACATCTGCCTGATGCCGACCGTAAACAGGATTAGAGAAGGACTTATCTGCTTGATGCTAATTGTGTTGCAGTTTTTGCACATGTCCACCCTTTTAATAGAGAGACTCCAAATGTTGCTGTACAACTGCCCTTTTAAGGCAGCGCTTATCAGCATGTGCACTAGTCAGGTTGGTCTGGGCTCTGAGTTTTTTTAAGTCTTTGGCAATAGGACCTAATTAGTCCCTCCAATTAAGAGCAGGAAAATTGAGTTTAAATGAGCGGCCCGCTAAGTAGAAGCAATGAGATGTAGATTGAGATAATACACCTGGTAAAGCATGAGTCTGACTGGTGTTTCCTGCTGATCTGCTCAAAAAACAGGCCACACAATTGGAACTTTACTTTTTGCTAATACTGTGCTCTCTCTATTTTTGGGAGCCCATAAATTTTTGCTTACACAAACTTTTTTTTTTATATATCTCTATTATATTTTAGCCACTTTACAGCTCCACATTTGCTAATCTATTTTTAAGGAAATGATGCAACTTTAACAACTACTTTAAAATTGGCAGCAAAATTAATCTCTTGACGTGGCTTTGCTGATGCAATTAGAAAGCTAACGCAAGTATTAGAAAGCTGACGTAAGCTGAAATTATGCCATGCCGTTGCACAATAAAAGTCACTGAATGTTTTTTTTCCCCCCACGATTATTTCATTTAAAGTTGGTCATATTCCAATTATGTATGCATCATGTGAAAGTGGTTACTCAATTATCATTATTCAAATAAGAATCTTAAAAAAGACAACTGGCATATGCCTATATTAGGAATGCTGTGTCACATAAACACCTTATTCTGAATATCAATTTTACTGGAATAATTAAGTAATAATGGGAGCTTTTCGTGATATAGGCAATAGTGTCTAGAAGTTGTAACCAAACACAATGATATCAAACCTGCCTTATATTTAATATATAGGGCCTGTAGGGATATAGTTACTTTACTATCTTTTCACACTGAGGACAACTGAGGGATTCATATGCAACTATTACAGAAGGTTCAAACGCTCACTGATGCTCCAGAAGGAAAAACATTGCATTAAGAGCCGGGGGTGAAAACTTTTGAACAAAATGGAGATGTGTGTGCATTTTTCTTATTTTGCCTAAATATCATATTTTTTCATTTAGTACTGCCCTTCAGAGGCTACAGAAGATACTTACATGTTTCCCAGAAGACAAAATAAGTTAAATCTTAACGCATGGTTTTTCCTTCTGCAGCATCAGTGAGCGTTTGAACCTTCTGTAATAGTTGCATATGAGTCTCTCGGTTGTCCTCAGTGAGAAAAGATGGATCTCAAAATCATTCAGTCATTGTTGGAAAGGTTTCAAATACACAAAAATGCTGGAAAACCAAATAATTTGTGGGACCTGAAGGATTTTTCTGAAGAACAGCAGGCAGCTTAACTGTTCAGGACAAACAAGGGACTCATGAACAACTATCACTAAACAAAAAAAACACAGCTGTGGATCATCCAGGTAACAACACAGTATTAAGAATCACAGTATTAATGAACGGGGTTATTTTTATAAATTCAATATTATTTTCTCTTGTGGACTATATGTAAACATCTTTTATGTGAAATATCTTATTCAGGTCAGTACTAAATAAACAATAACATGCATTTTGTATGATCCCTCTTATCTTGGTAAAATAATTAACATTTTGCAGATTCTGAAACGGGGATGTAAACTTTTGACCTCAACTGTAATTGATGGCTGAAATGTAATTTTGGGATAAACTGTCCCTTTGTATGCCACAGGTAATCATGTGATCATGTTGATGGTGATTACCGGTGGCATATACACACACTCACAAGTTCATACAGTACATAATCTGAAAGATTCTATATTGCTGTAATAAAAAAGGCAAAACACACCTTTAAGATGCATTGACAGAATATGTAGATTTCTTGTAAAAGCCGTCATGCCTTTTTTGTGTGATCTAAAAGGGATTTGAGAGTAATCCATACAGAAACCCAAAGTTGGGGATAGAGAAGGGGGTTGAAGAAGATTTTGGCTGCTGGTGCCTCTGCTGCAGGGCACACAAGTTCACAAATAAGAAGGGCCATATGTTCAGGGTCATTGGTCTAAAGGGGCTGCAAGGGGCCAAATCAATATGACACGTCTGGTAACACACGAGGTCATATAACACAGAGCCCTCCTGAAGACTGACTATGGATCTGTCGTCTCCGGAGATCTCATCTCTCTCATTGACAATTACATGCGTGTCTGTGTGTGGACACCACTCACAGCCAGCAATGACACGCACACATGCTCTCATCATACTCACCGGCTGCTGATTCATGTTTTCTGGATTATTATGAAATCAGGCTGGATGAAATGAATCTCAGTAGAGTAGGACGAGTAGTTACACTTGCTCATTTTTTTTCTGAAAATGTTTAGACTAAAGTTTTGGAATTGTGCCTCAAACATCTTTGAGATTTATTGTCATTAATGTAGAAATTAAATTGATAACTTAATTGCAAAATCCAGTGTTATAGTCATAACATATACTGTATGACTCAGTGTATTTTTAAGTTATAGAGTTATATAGAATTTTTTTTTTTAGCAGACAATGCATGGTGGTTGTTTACTGGTCCAAGTATCTATGACGTCTTCAAAAAGCCACATGATTAAATATTATTCATGCCCAATACACCTTACTTTGTGTTAGTGATCTAAACAAATCCCTAACATATGATAAATATTATTAGTGATGCCTGGCTTAGCAAAAATGAACCTAAATCCCAAAATTGCATGGACAAGTGCACTGTGCATCATGCATGCAAAACAAAAATAATTTTAAATGATCTTTTTCTGTTAAGAATTACTGGTTGTCATAAAAGCTTTGCATGCTAGGAAACTGTTAATTAGTTTGAAAATACCAATTCTGTTGAACCTCTCAAGGCGGATATTCAGAGAGCAGAAAACAAAGCAGGGAACAATGTGTCTGAGGCCCCCAGCGTGGCAAGTGTCATATTCTGGCGCACATGAGGCTGATTTCAGATGACAAGATGGGAACAGCCCTTCATTTGAGGCACAGTAAGACACAGGGAGATTAAATAAAACTGTGCACTCTTCTAGAAAACTTTATTGCTTCCAGATGGATACAAGCTTCCTCTCAGCAGCGCTCCGGCAAAGGCGAGACGCAGGGGGCCCCGACGTCATGTCATCATGCAACTAATGTATGGACAAAAAGAATCAATTCTACACCAGCAGTGATCTGAGCTGTTAGATTTTAATACAGTGAGATTTCAATATACATGTGGTCTGATGTATATGCATTGATTTTACTAGCGGTGCTTGAAGAATCACTTTTAGTATTG